GGACGAGTTAGAATTTAAGTGACTCATGATTGTCTCCTTGTCTGTAATCCTCCCTCCGCCCAACAGTTAAATAGGCTGGAAACACTCATCACCCAGTAGGGCAGTCATCTCCTGAACACCACACCCCAGTTGAAGGAAAACTAATCAAACCTCTTTTGGAGGGAAGAAATTGGCAAGAAAAAAACAATTTAATTATATAGTAGATGATCTGTTCCTCCTACTTTGACTACAATTTAGAGTCAATCCCAACCTCAGGTGTTCTGAAGCTATGACATTAACAACAGTAGATGCAGTGATAGCCTCAAAGCAACTCCCACAATTCAGGTTCAATCCCAACTTCAGAAGTGCTGTCCAAATAAATCACCAGCTAGATATAGTAACTACCTCAAGGGAGTTTTACACTGAGCTCTATATAATGAAAATGGGACATTAGGAGAGCTCAGTTTTATATACTCAGATTGAAAAGCAAAATTTGAAACTTATTTCACTATGTATGTTCACTGGCATCTATTGAGACAATCTTTTTACCAAGTAATGGATGAGGAGAAGAAATCACAAAGCTTGGGGAAATGTTAACTTAAGGGAAGTTTAAGGGCATAATAAGATAATACAGTATTGATTGAACTATTAGAGTATAATAGGTAAAGTATTAACCAAAGGGTTACAGAAGTGGCCTCGTAAAATATGCCCTTGGGCTATCGTAATGCTCAGCGACTTTTCAGGATCAATGTTAACTATAATAGTCTGCAATTGTGGTCAATATTTATGTTCCATTAAAACTGCCACCTTTGGGAGGTAGCCTTTACCATCCTTTTCCATGCTTATATGTGGCCAAATTTTAACTGTTCACTTGAGCTTTTATGGACAATATCAATTCAGCTAAAGGTTTCTCCAATCTCATTTCTGAACCATTCCCTTTAGGAAGAATATAATAATGGAAAGTGACTGCACATGTTGCTCTGTTTAAACAAGAGAATACATTTTTCCTGCGGAAAAGTAATTTTCATAACTTTGCTGTGAGCTCCTTAAATACCAGATCTAATTAAGAGTAGTTCATGTGGGAGCCATGTGTGTATGTCTGCGTCCAAGTCATTTAATTTTCTTTATTTTACATTTTGTGGTTATAATTAAATTTAGGATGTGATTTACTAATTACTTCAGCATGCCATCTGACAGGTTTCATTACTTGTAATGATTAGTAAGAAAATAATAGCTCTAATGAAAGGAGAGTTTGATTGCAGGCACACCTTATTCTGTTATTTAAAATGTGTGATCAAATGAGAGGGAAGTAATCTGGTTTATTTCAGACTCTAGGTATGTATGGTGGGTCGCTGGAAATTTATATTTTGCTTGTATGCTGGATACATTCATCTCAGCATCTCACTCTATTAGGTTTGGCAAATTGGAACAACTGGGCTTCTTCAAGCAGAAATGTAGCCAGGCTATTATAAAAATGGTTTGCAAGAAGGAGCACTAGACGTAATTGTACTGAGTAAAATATTAAACATATTGGCATATGGATGGGTACCATAACAGCCTCTCATTTTTCAGTTTCATGCTGGGGAATGTAACCTCTGCACATTATGATCAATTATCACTGAACTGGAAGATAAATCTGTATATCAAAACACTGGCACAAAATGAGCTTTTATATTGATAGACAGGAACATAAAAACTGCAGTTTACAACAACACTTTATCTGCAGTGAACTATCCTTCCAAATAATAGTACATTGGGTGGAAATAGTACATTTCCTCCAAAAGACCAATGAAATCCAACCCAAATTAATTTATTTACCTGCATCTATTAAGTGGCCATGTGAAATGAGTTCAGATCGTGTTGATTAGTCCCCGCTAGACATGGGCTCGCTAAATAAATTTGCCCCTAAATTTGCCAATTCATTCTGGTTTGGGAGAGAAAAAAAATCACACTGAAGTATACATCTGAGGTCTGACACCGTGGGCAGAAACAGCCTTGGTCAAAGGGACAAATGACATTTTGTCCATCTATGACCAGGGCTCCCTCTTTCTCCTCGCCCTCCTTGACCTCTCTCTGCCTTTGACACTGTCGACCATTCTCGCCACCTCTCCTCTCACCTCCACCTTCATGGTCCTCTCTGACCTGCTGACTTCCTACCAACCTGCCCGCTCCCTCCGCTCATCAGGCTCCGGCCTGCTCCATGCCTCCCGCCCGACCCGCCCTATCATCAGTGGTCAGGCTTTCAGCCTCCCTACCCCCACACTCTGGAACTCTATCCCACGGTCCCTTCGCCTCGCTTCCTCCCTCGCCTCCTTCAAGGCCGGTCTCAAGACCCTTCTCTTCGACCGAACCTTTGGTCTCCCTCCCACCTCTCTGCCTTCCCTCACCCTAACACCACCCCTCCCCCACGCTCCGGCCCCGACATCTGACTGTTCAGCACTTTGGGACATCCTCCCGATGTCAAAGGCGCTCTACAAATGTAATTTTGTTGTTGTTGTTGTCTTGTCCTTCACTGGTTCAAATCCTTCCTTTCACACCCTCTTCACTTTGTCTCCATGAACAGATTCTCTGTCAGCTCCCGGACTGTCTCGTGCAGCGTTCCTCAAGGCTCTGTCCTTGGTTCACTCTTATTCAACTTGTATATGCTCCCTCTTGGTACATCATCCACAGACACAGGGTCAACTTCCACATGTATGCAGGTGACACCCAACTGTGTCTCTCTGCCTCAACACGAGGACCACTGCTTTGGGTCATCCTCCCAATGTGAAAGTCGCTCTATCAATGTAATTTTGTTGTTGTTGTCCTGACGGAACATCTGTCAGACATCAAGTCCTGATGAGAGCTAATTTTCTGTAGTTGAATGTCAACAAGACCAAAGCTCTCCTGATTGGTTCCGGTCAACACCTCCACACCTCAGGCCATGACAGCATCACCATCCATGGATGCACATTCCACCTCACTGAGCCAGACCGGAACCTTGGCATCTCGTTTGACTCCCAACTGTCCTTTCTACTGCCATGACCCGCTCTGCTTTCCCCCATCTCCACAACATCGCTCGGCTCCACAACTGCTTCTCCCCTCAAGCCACAAAGACCCATGCATTAATTACATCCAGGCTTGACTACTTTAACTCCCTAATTGTTGGCCTTCCCAGATCTTGTTCATGAAAGGCAAGTCAGTTGGAAAATCCAAATTGATTAGAACTCTTGTTCATGGGAGAACTAAATAAGATGTTATGAAGATGATCACAAAGAAATTGGAAAACACACTGAGGCAGAACAACAATTTACATTTACATAGGGCCATCCAGACCAGGGTGATGTTTCAAAGCGCTTTACACAGCTGACTGTAAGCAGAGCCTGAGCTAAGGGGGGCAGGGTTCTGGGGAGGAGGTGGCTGAAGAACATGCCTTCCCAATATCTCCATTTTGACAAGATGATATAAAAAATATATATTACACAACATAAAAATAATTGCAGAATTTTCTAGGTCTGTTGATACCCTGAACATAGGCTGGTGGGCCAAATGTCTGAGTACATAATGATATAAACTTTCTTGTTAATTTGACAGACTAGATTATACTGTCTTACCAAGTGCAGCTCTGATTGCCTTGAATTGCAAACCTATCTGATTTGCTAACCCCCCCACCCACTCATCCCACTCCCCCACCTGCTGCCTCCACTTGGCTGGCTCTGACCTCCTGTTTATCCCTCGTCCCCTCCACTCCACCAATGGTGGCCGTGCTTTCAACCACTACGCCCCAAACCTCTGGAGGTCTCTCCCTCAATCCCTCCACTTAACTCCCTCCCTCCCCGTTTTCAAAGCTCGCCTAAAGACCTTCCTTTTTGATTGTGCTTACGTTCACCTCCGCACTCCTTCACCCCCTGGCTCTGGGTCAGGCTCCGCCACTGTCAAGCACTCCAGATGCTATCCCGCGTGATCTTATATAAATGCAAGTGGCTGTTGTCATTGAATTATTTTTAGAATATGACTGTGAACACTTTTTAATGTGCGCCAGGGTATACAACGAATATAGGGATTTCCAGTATTTATCATATTTTCTTTGGGTCAGCCGGTATCTGACACATGAGTATCTAAATCAAACTAAAATTTCCATGCATCCCACCTACACATGGAAATCCCAGAGATAGGTTGTTGGAATGAACACTCTCTCCCTGGGGGGATGCAACCTGCTTACCTAATTCCGTTTGTTGAACTATGTTGTTGAATAAATCAAACTAATTTGGTCAAATCTTTTCCAAAGGGGTGAATAGAGAAATTATGAATTTTTAATTATGGTTTATGAACATCTCCCTGTTGATATGTTTCCTAGCTAGTTATAACAGAATATATTTGAATTTGTGAGGGAAGCAGAATAGCTCTAAAAATGCCCAAATTGCTTCAAGAGGAGGGCTTGTGAGTAATGTCTTCTTGGCTGTGCGTATTGTAGACCTGGAAATGATTTAAATAATTTAAGCGGATAAAAAGTATTCCATGATGGGTGTTCATGGAAGTCTGATAGCAGTGAGTTATATGCCATCTCAGCCAGTTAACTGAGATGTCTTGTCAATGTCAATAACCCACTAGCTATGAGACCTCCACCCACCAAATCTACAGTACAGGCTGTTGACCAATCAGGTCATCCACCATGTCAATCACCATTCATTCCAATACCTATGTGACTGAGACTTTCTTTCTCCATTTCTGAAATTCACGTGTCTGATGAAAAGCGTTGACATTTACTTCTCCGCTTTCTCTTAATGTACAGCAGATTCATGGTAGCCGCAAACTGAATGCAAAGTGGAAGGTCAAGTGGCAAACTTGTTCCTGAATTTCCTTTCCTGAGGATGGTAATGAATTACAAGTATAGGGCCATCCATGTGTTGAATTGGGTAGGGGATTGTACTGGGCAGAATGCCAAATACCATCAAGTATGTGACAGAGCAAACTCCAAAGTCCCTTGATTTCTCTACATTGCACTTTGGACTTGCTAGGAAAAATATAAGTGGAATCGTAGGGGTGGAAAATGCAGTACACAATGTGATAATTATCAGTGATTGTTTGCGAAAAATAAGTTCAGCTCAACTTTCAATGTTTTTAGTAGACTTTTGATTTCCGCGAGAAAGGTTTGCATTTGTTTTAGTTTCCTTCCTTCTTTTCTTTTTTCCTTTCTTTCTTTGACCCAAGCCTTCGATCATCTTTCCCCTTTCACCCCTATCCCTTTGGCCCCCACCCCTCCTGAATCCAGCACCCAGTTCAGGTGCAAACCCTTGACTATCCAGTGCCTTGGGTTGGGATATCAGTCCGACTTGAAAGGCTCAAGATAAATACAATTTGTTTGTTTGTTTGTTACAGGGTAAAATGGTTCAGGAAGAGAATTGTTAAAGCTGGGTCATGGTAATTGGATTCAGCCACTGATGGTTGAAAGGTGGAAGAGGAGAGCAAGCAGTAAGCCACATTTGGAAAAGCAGAAGGTAGGGGTTAGAATTTGGGGTTAGAAAAGATTGTATAGTTTGCTCAGTGATTCGGTGGAAGGATTTCAAAAAGAAATCAAGAAAGGCTGCAAAATCAATTCTCTGAGGTACTGGGAATCAATGGTACTGGAAGAGGGTGGGAATTGGAGGTGGTTAATGCATTTGTAGGCAGACAACTCAGACTGAAGTGATCTTTAGCATTTGAAGTTTCTGTAGAGTGGGCTAAAGAGGTTGCCAAGAAGAACTTTGGAAAAATCTATTCTCAAACAAGGGTGGGGATGAGGTAAAGGTATAACTGGCAACAATCTGGAAAAGGCAGACTTGGCATAGCACTGTATGCGGATGCAATAAAGATTCTTCAAAATACTCTTTATTACTCCTGATATTTGTTTCTCCTTACGGAGGAATTCAGACCACATTTTTGGCTTTCACCCAAAAATAACAAGGTGTTTGAGTTTGCGGAACTGACAGTAACGATTAACTTACCTTATTGCACTGCAAATCTATTGAATGCCCCTTTAGAAAAACCACAACAGCTGCTTCAATAAATTGTTTTGTTTCATCTGAAGAATGAAGATGGAAAAACACCCCAAATTGTGAAGCCCACATGGAATTTCTCCATATTCATCTCCAATCTTGTCCCATTTGAATATGTGAAGGCTCCTTCTTCTAGGCTATCCAGAAAGCAAATGATAAGTCCTACATCTTTAGCTCTCCCTCATTTAATTTACAATGAACTTTGAAACTTTATGCCATATTCTGGATTTCATTTGCTGAATTGGTTTGATTGCGTACAAATATATTGATGTGTAGTATTGATATTATAAATATACTTGGTTTGTTTCATAATAAAAGTGCTCCAGGATGCTATCCTACGTGAAGAGCGCTATATAAATGCAAGTTGTATTTGTAATAAGACTTTGGAGACTTGTAGTGTATTGATTAAAGCACTCACCTTGTCAACGAGAGGATCAGGGTTCGATTCCCGGGCAGGGTGAAACCTTAGGCAAGTTTCCTTATGCGTCTGTTCACCTAGCAGTAAGTAAGAATCCGGTTGTCAATTGATTGACAGATTGCTTTCTGGGAGTAATAATCCCTTCAAAAAATAAATAAACAATTTTCTCACTCAATCCACGACTGCTTGTGGGACACTGCTATATGCAATTGGATGCCACATTTGCCCACAAAATATAGTTAATCCACTTTATAATATATTCTGTAAAGCGCTTTGAGATATCTCAATGACATGATAAGGCATTCTATCAAATGCGAAGATTATTATTGTCAGTAAGAAAAGTAGTGGTCCTGGATTCAAGAGTAAAGGAAGGGAGATAGAGTTGGCTGTGATCTATACATGTGGATATCACCATATAGATGGTGAAAAGGAGAGGACCGAGGATAGACCCCTGAGGAATACCACAAGCGGCTGTGCATGGGGCGCGGGAAGGAGAAACCATTAAAAGAGACGAAAGGAAGACACTGAGATAGGTAAGAGTGAAAATTGGAAAGGACAGAACCATGGAGGTGCAGCAGGGAGGACAGATGGTAGAGAAGAGACAGTGAAGAAGGACAGAGTATTCGATAGTGTCAAAAACCGCAGAGAGATAAAGAACAAGGAGGTAAAGAAAGCCCAAGTCACAGATGGAAAAAGTCAAGGTGATTTTGACCAAGAAAGTCTCAGTGCTGTGGACAGGGTGGAAATTAGTTTGGAGGGGCTCAAGGAGAGATATATCTCTAGAAGGTTCCCTCTGAGATTTATCTTTTCATGGCTGAAGAGCACTAGCTAGTCTTGTTGCTCATTTTAATTCATCCTTTTAACACAGTGGATCAGCCTCATTGCATTTCTTTGCAGGAGGATCTGGGCGTTCCCTTATTGTCGCTATATCAAAACTATACTCGGTACTGTAAGAGTGGCCTAACCAGATGTGACAATATAGCTCAGCATTGTGTTTGGTTTGGGTTGTTATGCTTCACACTATTTGGGCATTGTATGTGACGGGTGATCTAGCTACTCTAAGTCTGTGAATCTAAATCACTTTTGTATACTAGTGACAGCCAGATTCTCAGCACAGACGAATGATGCACCAAACTCAAAATCTTCCTCCGTTTTCATCTATGTTCCTTTTTGACTGGCCTCTATTCCCCTCCCTTTAATTCCCATCTGTGTCTTAACCTTGGAAACTATAAACATTGGTTTCAAAGGAATCTTTTGTGTGGTACTTTGGCAAAGGCCTTTTGGAAGTCTAGATGCACTCTGCCACAGGGCTTTCTGCTGTCAGCTTTATTTTGGTCACCTGGGTGTCTGACATCACCATTCTTAAAAGGGTGTGTAAGCCAGACTGAGAGTTCCACATCTGTATTCCATCTACACATGAAATCTTCCATGTGCAAGTTCCCAGGTTTCGGAACCAGGTCAGGAACTGGACCACAATAACAACTTGCATTCATATTGCGCCCCTCAAGTGGATAGCGTCCCAGAGCATTTGAAAGTGGGTGAGTCGGACGCCGAGCCAGGTAGTGTGGGTATGTGTGGGAAACAAAGGATTGACTCGATTCTACTTGGATCCAGTTCAGCTCCAAGGAGACCTCACTTACCTCCCCTCCAAGGTGGATAATCATTACTTGGTCATTTGATATCTGACAAGCCCAGGTTTGTACTTTTACAGTATATTCTATGAAGTGCTTTGAGATATCTCAACGCCTTGTTAAGGGGCTATATCAAATCTAAGTATTACTATTATACTTCCTATTAAAGCATGATTTAAATATTGAAATTTACTACAAGAGTATCACTGCACATAATGTTTAGGTTTGCACTGCATGAAACCAAGGCCTTGGAGATTAATTAAATGACATCTATTGAATGTAAACAGGTAAGATTTGAATATTAAAGATTTAGGGATGGTTAGTTGTGCAGGTATTTTGCTTGACTAGGTTTGGGGAGGATCAGGGTGAAATCTTGGAAAATAAATGAAAAAGGAAATAACTAATATCTTTGGGAGTCCATAACATTAAAACTGTGCTTGAGGACTGAGAGAGCATTACCCCAGTGTTCAAAAAAAGAGAAAATGAACTCAGAAATTCTAGATCAATTAAATTTAACATATTTAGTTAGTATGATGTTACTGAAATATATACGGAGGACAAACAAAGAGCATGAATTGCATTTGGAGGAGTTGGCATAGACTTAAAAAGATATTAACATAAATTCTTGTGAGTTTTATTTGGGATTCAAACAACTCTCATGAAAGCCGAGAAAGCACAGAAAGTCGTCATTATAGAGCTAAAAACAAAAGATCATACTCACAAAGAGCCTGGTGTCCTTCAAGTAGGTATCTAATCATATGGATGAAGATTTATTTACTGTATTTTAATTTTCAGAAAGCATTTAATAAAGTTCCACCTTAAATAAAGTTAAGCCTCAGAGAATTAACAGAAAATTTGATAGCGGCAGTTGAAGTCTAGGTTAGCAATATCAACAACAACTTGCATTTATATAGTGCTCTTCATGCAGGGCAATGTCCCGGAGCACTTGACAGTGGTGGAGTGAGAGGGAGGGGGGAGGTGACCGTAAGCACGATCAAAAAGGAAGGTCTTTAGGTGGGATGTCAAGCAATATTAAATAGTAGGTAGTCATCAATGTTAAAAGCTTTGGGTAGGAATGGTGGCAGGAATCTGATCCAGGCACCTTGGGATAGAAATTTCACCCAGGTGTAGATTGACTCTGTGAGTTCTGTAAGTTCTTTTAAGGACTGCAGGAAATAGGTTTCAAACTTAAGACTGATTTCAATGTTTTGCCAAATTGTGGATTCTCTGAAAGAAAATAGAGTAAATGTTCCACTCAGGTGGAATTTCCATCCCTTTACTCTTCACACATGTATATATTCTTTTGGATACATGTGTTATCATACGTAAAAAAATGGTGATGAATAACAACAAAATACCAGCAGAAATGATGATGATTCCTGTATATAGAGTTCCAAATTATGAGGAGAAGCTCACAGAACTCAACTAGGTTTCATTGAGAGAAGAATACTAAGGATATGCATACCCTGAGTTTTTAGAAGTAAGATACATAAATGATGAAAGAACATAAAAAACAAACAAGAAATATATTTGATTCAGTTACAAGCAAAACCTAATCCATTGGGGTCTTAAATCCAGTCATTGTTTCCTGGGGAGAAAGGTTCTGCCAACATTGTATTTATTTTGTGCCCTTCAGTTGGGAGGAGATCCCCAGGTGTTGGAGAGTTGAGGGTTTGCACCCGAGCTATGGGATAGATTTGGGAGGGGTGGGAGCCAAAGGGTGGAGTGGGGAGAAAGATGACTGAAGGTGTGGTCAAAGAGGAAGGTCTTGAGATGGACCTTGAGGAAAGTGGCGAGGCGAGATGACTCTGGGATGGAGTTCCAGGGAGTAGGGTCGGATCCCCAAAAGAATGCAAAAGCAAAGCCTCTAAAAAATGTATTCCAGAGAATTCCAAAGTCCCCCTTCACCTTGCCCCCTCCCTCCCTCTTTCAAACCCCACCTAAAAGCATGTTTTCGACATGTTTGTGCCCCTCCCCCCTACAGCCACATTTCATCGCCAGCTCGACTCTCACTCCATACCTGTAAAGCAGTTTGAGATGTTCTCCTATGAGAAAGGTCTTGTATAAGTACAAATTGTTGTTGTTGATCTATTTGGCCTATCATGTCTGTCCTGGCTATTTGAAGAACAATCCTTTCACTCCCATTTACCCCATTCCCCTGTAGTGTTTAATTATTGGTATGTGTCTAGTTCTCTCTTAAAGCCTGATATGGATTCTGCCTCAACCATGCTCACAGCAAGGCATTCCATATCCCGAACACTCAGGGTGTGAAAAAAATTCTGTTAACCTTACCATTAGTTTGCTTGTTTAACTATCTTAAGTTGATGCCTCTAGTCACTGACTTGCCAGTCAGTGGAAATAATTTCTCCCTGAAATGTCCTGAAGGTGAAATTGTGTATTTGAGTCGCTTTGTTAACATCAGCATTGCATGGAAACTTTCGATGAGTTATCAATTTGTACACACAAATCCTTTTCTTTCTCACCTCTGATTATTGATATCAAGGCCCACATTAGGGACTTTGAACTCAGGTTCACAGTAACGCTCCAGTGTAGTGTTGGACGATGGGGACATTGTTGGAGGCGCAGTCCTTAGGATGAGACATTAAACCAAGATCCTGTTTTCCATTCAAGTGGATGTTAAAGAATCTGTGACACTTTTTGAAATTAAAAACACATTTCTCTTCGTATCCTGGCATCCAATACTCCAGATAAATTGATCATTCACCTTGCACTTGTGTTTTAGAACATTGCTGTGTACAAATGTACAATCACTATACTTACTGTAAAGTTCTTTGAGACATTTTGACATAATAGGAGCAAAATCAAAAATTATTATAATCTAATTACAAGTGTATTGTTCCTGTTACAATGTGCATTACCTTACATTTGTCTGCAAGAACATTGACCTGCTATTCCATGAACCATCTGCTGGTTTAATTCAGGTCTTGTGTACTACAACAACAACTTGCATTTATATAGCGCCCTTCACACTGGATGGCATCTCGGATCGCTTAATAGTGGTGGAGCCCAATGCTGAGGAGTGTGCTATTTATCCTCCTCATGTTATTCATGACCTCCATCACCAATCAGCTCCTCCGCCCACCCTCTCATGCCTCGCCCATCGTCTCCTCCAACGCCAACTGTGTGGAAATGCTGGACTTCCTCAAAACCAAAGTTTCGGGAATCCGTTCAGCTGCCTTTGCCTTTCTGACCCCCGCCCCATTTCCCCCTCACATCCTGGCCCCTACTCATCCCTCCCTCCACATCTTCATTGCTGTCCCCCCCTCTCCCTGTCCACTGGCACTGTTCCCACCCCTCTAAAAACTGCCGTCATCACTCCTAGCCTTAAAAAAACCCTCCCATAGCACAGAAGCAGCTTTTGTCAAAATGACAAATGATATTTTATCCATCTGTGAACAGAGCGCCCTCTGCCTCCTCATCCTTCTTGACCTCTCTGCTGCCTTCAATACCGTTGACCACTCTCCTCCTCCACCACTTCTTCTCTCACCTCAACCTTCATGGTTCTTTCCTTGAATGGTTCAGATCCTATCTCTTACGCTGTCTCCACTTCATCTCCACAAACAGCTTCTCCTCCATCCCTCGCACAATCTCGTGCAGAGTTCCTCAGGGCTCTGTCCTTGGTCCCCTCCTCTTCAATATCTATATGCTCCCCCTTGGTGACATCATCCGCAGACATGGGGTCAACTTCCACATGTATGCGGATAACACCCAACTCTATCTCTCTGCCTCCACCCTCAACTTCAGGACCACTGCTGTCCTGACAGAATGTCTGTTAGACATCAAGTTCTGGATGAGAGCTAACTTCAGTTCAGTGTCAGCAAGAATAAGGCTCTCCTGATTGGCTCACATCAACGCCTCCACACCTCAGGCACTGAGAGTATCACCATCCAAGGATACACACTCCACCTTACTAAGCCAGTTCAGAACCTTGGGGTCCTTTTTGACTCTCAGTTATCCTTTCTGTCCCACATCCATGCCAACATCACCTGGCTCTGCCATTGTCTCACACCACAGGCCACTGAGACGCTTATACACCCCTTCATAACATCCAGGCTCAACTACGCAAACTTGCTGCTTGTCGGCCTTCCCAACTCCTCCCTCCATAGGCTGCAGACCATCCAGAACTCTGCACCCCATGTCCTCTCCTACACCAGGTTCTGTGACTCTATCACCCCCATCCTCGCCCGACTCCATAGGCTTCTCATCATACAGAGCATACAGTTCAAGATCCTGGTCCTCACCTTCAAAGCCCTCCATGGCCTTGCTCCCCCCTACCTCTACGACCTATCTCCCTACTAACCTGCCCGTTCCCTCCGCTCAGCGGACTCCGGCCTGCTCCAATGGTGGGTGGGCCTTCTGCCACTCTGCCTCCACCCTCTGAAACTCCATCCCACAGTCCCTCCAGCTCGCCCCCTCCCTTCCCTCCTTCAAGATCCGTCTCAAGACCCTCCTCTTCAACCGTGCCTTCGGTCACCCTCCTTCTCCACCCACCTCGATCCCGGACACCCCAGCTCGGGTCTGAAACACTGATTGTCCAATGCACTGGGACATCCTCCTGACATGAAAGGTGCTTTCCAAATGTAATTTTGTTGTGTTATTCACCCATCCTAATACCTTATCGTCAATAAATTTTATATTATGTAAACTGCTTTCCTCCATATCATTTATATATATTATACTGTGAAACATGTGGACAAAGAACAGGCCTTTGCAGCATTTAGCTATTTACTGCCCCTAGGCAGAATGATTCTAATTCTCATCACCTTTTACTTCCTATTGCTAAGTCCAGTTTTGAATTCAACTAGGAATTTGCCATCAATACCATGACCTCTAATCTTCATTATCAGTCTCACATGTGGGACTTTATCAAATACCTTCTTAAATTCCGTGTAAATTATATCCACTGGCTCGGCCCCCTTAATTTGATATAAGCATCCGATTTGACTTGGATGTTAAGCCCCGGGAAAAGCTGAAGCTTAGAATATTTTTTTGCCCACGGAGTAATAGATATGTGGAACAGACCTCTCATAAAAATAGTTGGTCAGATTGATTAATTCCTTTCAAAAATAGCTGAATAAATACATGTTTGAGGGATAGTTAAAAAGGTAACTATAGACGAACATAATCTAATATCCTAAGGGACACAATTGCGTTGCTGGGATTAATCAGTTGCCATAAGGCCAACAAGATAAGTCAGCATTGAATAATGGAAGTATCAGGACAAATAGCTTGTCTGGAGCTTATCAAGATTATCAATCAGGAAAGTTTCAGGAGATTAAATAGATAGGGAAACATCCATGATATGGTAGATTGTGCATGGATGATGGAAGGAGAAAGCGTGATTCATTATGTGTTTCTCATACATTGCTGTTGCTAATTATTGTTATAAACTACTTCACACAGTCCTAGTAGTGATGTACAATTTCAAAAACTGCAACATGCTGCGTATGTAGCAGAAACCATAAATTTCATGCACTTCATTGTTTATTACAGCGATAAGTTATAAGTTTGTAAAATTAATTGTCATAAGTTGCTTCCTGAACAGACCAGAGTAATTAAAGCATATACAGAAAAAGACTACACAGAATAAAAATAATCTTGGAACTATCATTTTGCTTGGTTTAAGATATATTAAAAAATGACACTAACATACAAAGCCTTTTTAAAGCAGCTTTCTTTTGTACATGTCGAAATACATAATTCAATGTCAGCTTTACAGCAAATGGCATATTACAAAATGCAATTTTAACAGGTTGCATAAAAAGTATAAAAATATTTACAAAGACTATCTCAAAATACACTATTTTCATTGCACAAATAGGAGAGCATGCCAGGAATGAAGTTACACTGGGTTGTCCTTCAATATTACATCGGACAGTTTTGGTTTGAAAGCAAGATTTTGTTTTACAAATAAAAGTCTTTCTTTGATATTCCAGGATTTTTTTTAGTTTGGTAGATACTCTTCCAAATTATGTGAATGTTACAGACTCCTAAAGTCTCTCGAAAGTTACAAACACTTTTAGGACTTTAGTAGCATACCATTTAAACTTACTCCGTGTACTCTGGGTACACTTAATCTGCTTTGTTCATTTTTTTCTTTATTGCTTAGTTTTACAAGTCGGTATTTTATTCTAGCAGACAATGTCAAACAGGGGGAGAAGAAATTCATTTCAGAGACCTGTTTAATCAAAGCTAATACTGTGTATTCTTTCATTTTGTGAGGTGGGAAATGGAATATTATCACCAATGACAAACAATCATTTCAATGCGGTTTAACTCTGGAACTTTTCAGTATAAATTTAGCACATTTGAATCCTGAGTGCAAAAAGGTAGCTGTTTCTAATTAGATCACAGTTGATATCTGCATGCCGTGCCAATCATTGTGTGTTTTCAACACATGTTCTCTGAGACTAAACAGCATCAACAAAGTGTGACTGGAGTCAAAATAAAGTGTCATGCCAAAACAACACCAATGTTTTTTTTTTCCAAGACCACAATGTACATTCCTGTGTTGTAGACTATTTTTGATTTGTCAAATAAGAGCTTTACACTATGGAACTGATCCGTTATTCAAAAGTACAATTTCATTGCTGTAAAAATGCTTTCAGTGTGCAACTCGTAGCTTATCGATACATTATTTATATTACAAGGTACTCACGACAACAACATTGATGCAGGTGTCTATGATTAATTGGAGTAATATAAAATAAGTTAATACTTTGATAGAAATTGTACTGTCTTACAATTTACAGTCAGTTCTTGCACAAAAATAAGCTGGCCAACAACAGCAGAAATACATGTGCAATCCCAAAAGATTTTAAAAACTGCTGAAAAATCCTAAATATATTAATAAACATAAGATTAGATTAAAAAAAGTCTTGTTCTAAACTGGCCTCAGGGCCAGGGGTCAGTATTTGGTTGCAGCATTTTTATTCATTTATGGAATGTTTTTTTTTTTGCTTTGTAAATCTCCAAATCATTCAATCTTCGTTCTCAGAATTGATTAGTCGGTGAAATTTTCAACGTCTTAATTTCTGAAATATGCGAAGACTTCTGAATGATACAGCTGGTTGTTCCTTGGAGTTTGCCCTTTGCTTGTGCAAGATTTGTCAAGGCCATGGCTGCATTAATTTCTTTCCAGTAGGTTTCGTCTTTGTAAGTTTCCTTTTTCTTTGGAGCACTGGAAAAAACAAAATAAAGACTAACATTTTAGTCTCGATTTCAAGATCCTCACACTTCTTCAAAGCTCTTCATGCTCTGGCACCTCCCTACCTCTCCAACCTGCTTACTACCCAACCCAATATCCGCCTCCTCTGCTCGACCAGCTCCGGCCTCCTGCTTGTCCCTCGTATCCACCATCCCACCATCGGTGGCTGGGCTTTCAGCCACTCGCCCCGAAACTCTGGAACACTCTTCCTCTATCTCTCTGCCTTGTCCCCTCTTTTCCCATCTTCACGTCTCATCTGAAGACCTTCCTCTTCGACTGTGCCTACGGTTACCTCCCCTTCCCCCCAGGTTGGCATCATGCTCCGCCACTACCAAGTGCTCTGGGAAGCTACCCTGTGTGAGGGGTGATATATAAATGTAAATTGTTGTTGTCTGTAAGCTAAGATGGACATGAATCAAAGATAGTGCAACAGATACAATGGTCTTCAAATTCACTAACCTGACAAATCTGTTTGGCCCCTGTTCCAATGTTTCTGATAACAAAAGAAAAGTATGTTATTTTTTTCAGTCTTACAAAACTAACTCAGAACATACTTCCTTGTTTCAGTGGACTTTTTGAGTGGGGTAGGAGAGGGAATGTGTAGAAAGAAGAATAAGGTCACACATTGCTATTAGTATTCCAGCTAGGAGAACAAGAAATCAACTTTTGCATTAGTCCTTTGAATCTAATACCTGTACTGCTCAGTGGATTGTATATATTGTACATGATACAAGAGTGAAATTGACAATGCCAGGTTCTACCACAAGATAATTCACTTCTGAATGAAATAGGAACCAGATGTAAGAAGGCTTATTTTTAAGCTTGCTGCTTATTTAACGCTCATCATATCTAGCTGTACATAAATGCGACTGTTTCGTGGACAGCCTATTGAAAAATAATCTTTTCTCTGTTTTGCCTTTGAATACTAATTTTGTCATTGTGATGTGCGAAATTGCTTGCCGTGTTTCGCCCACAAAATACACAGTCAATCCACTTTACAATACATGAAGCCCGGCTTCACTGGCTCTATAACCCTCAGAGAATTGAGTATGTACAAAACCCTCGATCTCACCTTCAAAGTCCTCCACGGTCTTGTTCCCCCATACCTCCCCCACCTCCTAACCCCATATCAGCCTGTCCACTCCCTCCGCTCAGTGGACACCGGCTTGCTTCAGGTCCCCGCTCTTCCTGCCCCACAATTAGCGGTCGGGCATTCAGCATCTCTGCCCCCACAGTCTGGAACTTTATCTCGCCTCACCCCCCTCTTTTGTCTCCTTCAAGTCCCGTCTAAAGACCTTCCTCTTCGACTGTGCCTTCGGCCTGCCTCCCACCCACCCCCACCCGGCCTCCACCCTCCTGACCCAACTTCCAGCTCGAGTCAAAAAAAAACCTGACTGTCCAGACTGAGACGTCTTTCTGGTGTGAAGAGCGCGATACAAGTGTAATTTTTGTTGTTGTATATTCTGTGAAGCGCTTTGAGACGACTCCTCAAAGTGATAAGGCGCTATATCAAATGCAAAGATTATTACTGTGACAGTCCCTCATGCAAAAAAGATAAGTTTCAAAAGGTGCATTGGATGGACCCTATATAAAATCTGTCATATTGAACTACTTCAGAAATTGATTGTCCAGTAACATTAGCACGAATACTTCAGACTCTACTTTTTTTTAAAAGAAAAACATGGTATTCCAATATTAAACACATGCAAAAATCTATGTAACTGAAACCAGGTTACAACAATTCTAAAGTCATTATTTCTGTTTAAGCAGTCAGGCAACACAGGCATGAAGCAAATGCTTTCCAATCTGCCTTAGGTTTGCACAGCTGCGCCCACTGTACTCTGTTTTAGCTGTGTCCACTTTAATCTAGATCTGACAGATCTGACACACGTAACCATGTGCCAAATACATTGTACCTAGAAACCTTTTTGACAGAACTGTTGTCGTAATTTGGGAACATTTAAATTATTTTGTGCTCTTTTAGCGGGATTGTAACCTAGCAGAATTCAGAATGATGTTCCGACTTTTTAATTAAAAAAAGCCCTCTTTGAAAGGTTAAAGATAGTTTACATTCTTCGTAACCAAACATTATGTGGATTTAACAGTTCAAGCTGTGCCTGTTAGCAGTGTTTTCCAGGCTATCTCATCTACTTTTAATTAATAGCCAAAAACTGCACAATTGAGTCAGCACAATTTGATAATTAATTACAGGCAGATATATTATCAAAGGGCAGAATGTGACGCTTGTACTTAGGAGTGATTTCCAGTGCAAGCCATAGCCATGAAAAATGGACCGAAAAAGGGATTTGTTCTGCACATGTTCTCAAACAGAGCTGAACAAAATTGCATGAGATTTTCAAAGGAGACATCTTCTTCCTATTAGTTGAATGTTTCAGCAATAGGCAACCTACCAGCACACAAGTGTAGATGCCGGTCACAGCGGTCATCTGGAGCAGACTTATTTCTGAAACATCCACTTTCATCTACATTTAATTGATAGCCTTTTTTTATTTATTTTTTTAGGTATGAAAGCCAAACACTGCCTGAATCAAGATAGCACAATAATTAAACCCAGACAATATGATCAAAGAGCATGATGCAGCTCTAGTATTGAGATGTGCTTATTGTAACAAACTCCAGTTCTCCACGTAGTAGTATATGATAGTACTGTATAGGAATAGCTTATGCATAGAACGCAGTTTCAAATGTAACTTAGTAGGACTAAGTTTCAAAGATCTTTCTTATATTTGCTTTACATTTCAGAAAACGGTAGGTTGCCAGCGCTTACAGAACTGGAGATGTTAGTCATCCATTAGTGACTAATTTTCCGAACAAGCATTGCATGCTGAAGAAACCAAGGCCAGCCCTGACTTGGCTGATAGCTAGGCTGAACCTTTGCTTTTTTTTGTCTCAATTGTATTACTAGTCGATGCATCAATTTCACTTACAAACCGTAACCTCAGGCAGTTGTCAGCTTGGCTCAGTAGGTGTGACTTAGTGACTTCGAACTTGTGGTCTAGTCTGAACCTCCAATGCTGGGAGAACACTACATTGTTGGATGAGATTTTAAACTGAGCTCCCATCTGTTCAGATTGCAAAGACTCAACCCAACGAGTCCATGCCGGTGTTTATACTCCACACGAGTTTTCAAGATCTCAGGATTTTATTCAAAAAGAGTAGGGAAGTTCTCCCAAAGTCCTGGGCAGCAATCCTCCAGATATAATTGGTCATTCATTTCATGGCACTATTACATGCAAATTTGCATCCAAATATAATGATAATAGTCCTTGCATGTAAATATAGCACCTAATCACGTCATTAAGCCACCTCAAAGTGCTTCACAGGATTTTACTGTGAAACGTAGTGACGGTGTATTTGTAATATGCCTTCACAACAGCGTATCACAGAATTTTTTACACTACAGAAGAAGGTTATTCATCCCATCGTGCCTGTGCCATCTTATTCTTTGTATGGTTTCTAAATACTGTTAGAAAGACACCAATTTTCGAAACTTATAGTAAAACAAGATAATGACAGAACTGTTAACTGAGAAATAAATAGGAGTTATACAGAAACAGAAACAATGCTTCATTTTTTATTTTGAAAGTGGAAGTATGCTTACTTCTCAGTTAACATTAACATGTCAGTTATAAACCAAATCCTTGGCTCTTTTTCTGATCAGAAAAATCAGACTGTGCTTCTCAGTAGAAATATTAGATGCAAAATAGAAGATTATTTGCATAAAAATAACCTAAGAGATGACACCAGCAAGAAAGGGCATATCTTGGCTCACTAAACTCAGACTTTTTTTCTGCTGAGATGTCACTCCAATTTGACAGTAATAGCTCTCATTGAGAGTTCAAGCCTGTACTTGTTAGGTGTCAAATGACCAAGTAGTGACAATCCTCCTTGGAGAGGAGTTAAGGGGGTCTCCTCTGAGCTGAGCTGGATCCAAAAGGATATGCTTGGCATCGGAATGTCAGAATCAAGTCAATCCTCTGCAATGCACTCGGACTGTGCTTACGGTCACCCCAGTGTCTTCCCATCTTTTATAATGGTTTCTCCTCCTCACCCTCATGCACAGCCGCTTGTGGCATTCCTCTGGGGTCTATCCTCGGTCCTCTTGTTTTCATCATCTATATGGTGACATCATCCATATGTATAGATCACATCTATCTCCCTTCCTTTACTCTTGAATCCAGAACCACTACTTTTCTTACTGACAATAATAATAATAAGAATCTTTGCATCTGAAATAATGCCTTACCCTGTCATTGAGACGTCTCCAAGCGCTTTACAGAATATATTGTAAAAAGGATTAACTACATTTTGTGGGTGAAACACAGCAAGCAATTGCAAACGACAGTGTCCCAGAAAACAGTCATGGATTGAATGACCAAATTATTATTTTCTTGGAGCGATTATTATCCCCGGAAAGCGATCTGCCAATCAACTAACAACTGGGTTCCGATTTACTGCTACATAAACAGAAGCGTGTGGAGTAACAGCAATTTGCATTTTTTAAGGAAACTTGCCTAGGTTTCGACCTGCCCGAGATTCAAACCCAGGTCCTCTCTCTTATGAGGCAAGCCTGCTAATCGCTACATTAACGGAATCCACCTAGGCTACAGGACATCAATATCCATTATACATTAGTACAATACAATACAATTTGAGGCACCTTTCCCATCAGAAGGACAACTCAAAGCACTTCACAGTGTTAAGTGAGCTATAATTTTCTCCAGCTAAGTGACAGCAAGACTGAGGCTCTCCTGTTCTGCTTGGCTCCTGTAAGTGCCTTCTCACCTCAACTCTGATCCCAATTTCCCGCTTTTTCTCCAAACTCTTTTACTGTCTTGACATTTTGCCAATAAAATAAATTTAAGCGTCACCAATTAACTTGCTTGGTTAAATGGAACCTGGATTGATCCAATCCTCACTGAAATTTCCCACAGGGGCACTTTTATCACTTGAATTTGGGACTTGGCTAGCTCACAACAACAACAACAACTTGCAATTATACAGTGCCCTTCAAGCGGGGTATCGTCCCGGAGCGCTTGACAACAAGCCGAGGGGAGGGAGAGGGGGAGGTGTCCGTAAACACGATCATAAAAGAAGGTCTTTAGGTGGGATTTGAAGGTAGGGAGGGAGCAAAGCGGAGAGATTGAGGGAGAGATTTCCAGAGTTTTGGCGCGTAGTGGCTGAAGGCACAGCCATCGATGGTGGAACAGAAGGCACGAGAGACAAATAGGAGGCTGGAGCCCGACGAGCAGAGGCAGTGGATGATGGAGTGGAGGGTAAGCAGATCGGATAACCAAGGAGGTACGAGGGAAATGATTTGAAAACGAGTGAGAGGATCTTGAAGTTGATCCGTTCAGTGATTGGGAGCCAGTGGAGCCTGGCAAGGACTGGTGTGATGGGTGTACGGAGTTTTGTGCGGGTGAGTGAACAGGCGGCGGAATTTTTAATTAATTGAATTTTGTGTATAGTGGA